TCTAAGATTTTCTGGTATATTTGCAATATTTTTGGTGTATCTCTAATTGTTGTATTTTGGTATTTTGAGTGACATTTTTTCATTATTTATGAATCAAAATGAGTGATAATATTGTCTGTTATTACTGTCGTGAGCAAGAACATATAAAGTGATATTGTGAAAAATTGCAGAATTGCAATCGGATGACACAAACAGCTAATATTGTTGTTGCTACTGCTAACTCATCTTATGAAAGAACTGTTATAATTTCAACTGACGAATATGCTAAATTCTCTTAGTATCAGGAATTTTTAAATAAATTTTCTGGTTTTGCTGAATTAGAGAAAAAATATTTTATCTCATTCTCGAACAGATGGGTGATTGATTCTGATGTTACAGATCACATGACAGGTAACTCTAATATTCTTTCTAACTTTCGACCACATAAAATACATTTTCTTATAACCATTGCTAATGGCTCAACTTATAACATTGTGGATTTCGAGACCACAAAACCAACTTCATCTATTATTTTGACATCTGTATTAAATCTACCCAAATTCGTGTTCAATTTGATTTTTGTGAGTAAGGTAACTAAATATTTGAATTGTTGTATTACATTTTTTCCTAATCACTGTATCTTTCAAAATCTTATGACGAATCAGATTATTAGTAAAGGAAATACATCAGATGGTCTCTACATTCTAGATACTTGGGTGCCTCGATCAATTGTCTGTTCTAGTGTTATCACTCCATTTGAAGCACATTGTCAATTAGTACATTCGCCTCTACTTGTGTTGAATAAGTTATACATTCAATTTCATGATGTATCTTCATTAGATTGTGAGTCATGTCAGTTTGCAAAATATCACCGTAATCCGTCAAGTTCAAGAGTCAATAGACGAGCTGAGTCTGCTTTTGAATTAGTTCATTCTGATGTTTGGGGCCCTGTCCTGTTCCGTCCAAAACAAAGTTTAAATATTTCGTTACTTTTGTGGATGATTTTTCTTGAATGATTTGGATATATTTTGTGAAAAATCATTTTGAAGTATTTTATTACTTTTGTACTTTTTATACTGAAGTCAAAACACAATTCAATGTTTCAGTGCATGTATTAAAAAGTGATAATGTCAAGAAATATATGTCAGAGTCATTTCAGAATTATATGACTCAATACAAGATCCTTCACCAATCAACGTGTGTTGATACACCATATCAAAATGGAGTCGCTGAGAGGAAGAACAAACATTGACTTGAAATAACTTGAGTCATTTTATTTCAAACGCAAGTTCCGAAGCAATTTTGGGTCGATACTGTTTTCACGACTTGTTTCTTGATTAATCGTATAACATATATAGTATTTGATAGAAATGTTCCTTATTGTCTTCTTATTCCAAACAAGTCTTTATTTCAAGTACAACCTAAGATATTTGGTAGTACCAGTTATGTTCGAAATGTACAACCTACTGTTACAAAATTGGACCCAATGGTCTTGAGGTGTGTATGTTTGGGATATTCTCGACTTCAAAAAGGATACCGGTGTTACTCTTCATATCTTAATAAATATTTGGTATCAACTAATGTGATCTTTTCAAAAAATACACCGTTCTTCTCCTCATTGTCAAAGTCTACAAGTTAGGGGGGTAGACAACAAGCGGTTCCTCTATAGTTTTATATCATGTGCTTCTACTAAGCAGACAAATAATAATGCTTCTCCAGATAATGTGCCTCCAGCCCTACTTAAACAAGTTGATGATAGTGTTAGTGTACCTCTAACCCAAGTACTACCACCAGTTGTTCATGTTTATTCTAGAAGATCACAGACTAGTGTTACATGTCCTGCACCAGAGCCGTTGTCATCTGATTCTGTCTCACAGGATCTTGATCTTTCCATTTGTGTACGTAAAAGTAAATGTCAGTGCACCATTCCTACATCAACGTATTCCATTGCTAATTTTATCTCATATGACCATCTGTCTCCTTCGTCTACTTCTTTAATTGTTTCTATATATTCAACTTTTATACCCCAGACAGTTAAGGAGTTTTTGAATCACTTTGGTTGGCATAATGCAATGCTTGAGGAAGTAAATACTTTTAATGAAAATCATACCTGGGATTTGGTGGATTTACCCAAAGGAAAAAAAGTTGTAGGGTTCAAATGGATATTTGCAGTCAAAATAAATCCAGATGACTCAGTGCCGAGACTTAAAACTCGACTGGTAGCAAAAAATTATGCTCAGACTTATGGGGTGAACTATTTTGATACATTCTCTCCAATGGCCAAATTTACCTCTGTCCGTCTATTCATATCTATTGCAGTCTCACAAGATTGGGTCTTACACTAGTTGGACATTAAAAATGTATTTCTTCATGATGATCTCTTAAAAGAAATGTATATGAAGCAACCGCCTGAATTTATTACTTAATGGGAGTACGGAAAAATCTGTTCTTTGAAAAAAAAATTGTATGCTTTAAAAACAGAGTTCTTGTGCGTAATTTGGCAAGTTTAGTGAGTTAGTCTGTGAGTTTGGATTAAAGAAGAGCAAGTGTGATCATTTAGTCTTTTATAAACAATCAACAGCTGATATTATATTTTTTCTTATTTATATTGATGATATTGTGATTACAGGAAATGATCATGCAGGAATATCTTCTCTCAAGTCATTCTTGCATATGAAATTTAATACCAAAGACTTGTGACAATTAAAATATTTCTTGTGAGTTTGAGTAACAAAAAGTAAGAAAGGGATTCTGTTATCTCATAAAAAGTATGTACTTGATTTATTTGCAGAAACAGAAAAGCTGGGAGCTAAGTCATGCAATACACCAATGATACCAAATGTACATCTTATAAAAGATGATGGTGATCCCCTTAATGATCCAGAAAAATACAAGCGACTATTTGGGAAATTAAATTATCTCACTGTGACTCGTCAAAATATTGCATACTCTATCAGTATTGTTAGTCAGTTTATGTCTGCACCTACAGTCAAACATTGGGAGACTTTGGAACAAATTTTGTACTATTTAAAAGGTGTCCGGGACTCGACATAATGTTTAGAAATCATGAGCATACTCACATTAAATGTTTTACAGATACTAATTGGGCTGAATCTAAAATTGATAGAAGGTCTACTACGGGTTATTGTGTTTTTTTTAAAAAAAATCTCGTATCATAAAAAAGTAAGAAGCAAACAGTTGTATCTCACTCAAGCGCAGAGTTCGAATATAGAGCTATGACCCAGTCCACATGCAAAATCTAATGGATACATCATCTTTTAGATGAAATGGGTTTGAGACCCTCATCTTCTGCAAAACTCTAGTGCAATAATCAAGTTGCCCTTCATATTACCCCAAATTCTATGTATTATGAGAGAACCAAACATATTAAGGTTGATTGTCACTTCATTCAAGAAAAAATTCAAAAAAACTTTATATCTACTAGTTATGTGAAAATAGGAGAACAACTTAGTAATATATTCACAAAACATTTAAATGAAATACGAATTGAGTATATTTAGAACAAACTGAGCGTGATTAATATCTATGCTGCACCTTAAAGGGGACTGTTAAAATATTATAAAATACTATATGTACATAATAGTATGATTATATTTCCAAATATAATAGTATGATTAGGAAGAAAGTTAAAGGGTAATTTATATTGATTACTTTATATGAATTCATCTACATGTATATATATCCCTATTCTCGATTCTATAAATAATAAGAGTATTATTCAGTATTTTTTTCCTTCCTTAACTCTTAACACTTTCAATAAAATGGACCTCCTAGAGCCAGTAATTTAGTAGGACAAAATTAGCTGAATTTAAGTAGAATTTCTAAAGCATAATCATGTTCCTTTTACAAATTTTTCCCCAGACAAAATAATATCTATGCACATATCCACATGCCTGCATTTGCACCCGTAAGCTCTGCAAGAACAACCTAATGTATATAAGTTCCACATGATGTGACAAAATAAATAGTACATTTTTTTGAATTAAACAAAGGCAGACGCCTAGACTTATATAGACTTCCCAATGCATACTAAATGAATTTATAGTGTTAGGCATACACATTCAAATTTTGAGTTACCACAACTGTTGATGTTGTTTTAATGCTCTGGGCCCAAAAACAATCAATTTAATAAATTTTCGGAACCAAACTACTAGTTTTCATAAATTAAAACTCAAGTTATTGATAGTGTATGACTTAAATCTTTATATAGAGCTCATGAATCATAGTAGAAGCATGTGAACTCATCTCCTAAGGGAGACAAAAAAGTTAGCATGTGAACTCATCTCCTAAGGGAGACAAAAAAGTTAGCATGTAAATTTGTCTCCACACAAGTTGAGCAAAATTCAAACTATAAATAGAGAAATTCTTACTAATAAAAGGTAAGACATTGCATATGCCGTGAGCGTAGTTAGCCAATTTATGCATAGCCTAAGAGAGGTTTAATTTCATGTAGTCTACAGGATACTTGATGGCGCATAGCCATAATAGGAATTTATTTACAGTTGAATTATTTTTCAAATTATTATCTAAGAGTCTTATTAGCTTATTAATATTATTTTCTTTGTATTATGATTAGTAATCTTAATTCTACTAGTTTAGTTTAATTCTAATTAGGAAAAGTTACTTAGATACTACTTTAAACAGTTTTGTAATTTCACTTATTAATTATTCAAGTATTCAACAATAGTTTCGAGAATTTCTCATAATTAATTGTGTGACTCAATTAACTCTTATGTGTGATGCCTAAGAACCTTAGGTATGACAGCTAGGTTTTAATCCAAATTCTTAATAGGCAAATTAACCTTAATTTGTCCTACATCAATTTGGTGCCAGACTTAAAAGAGTCCTATACCCAAATTCTCCAAATCAGAATTTGTCCAACATGAATATTACATTACCTAAAAGGCTAATCCTGGAAAAAGGAATCCATTAAAAAAACAATTCACTAGTCCTTATGGTTATGCAGGTTCACCAATTGATAGATAGCCTAGTATGAGTTATTGTACTTCCCTTGAAGGCAATTTTGTGATTGGATGAGTAAAAAGCTGAATCTGATTGTTCGATCAGGTGAAGAGGAAGACTTCAAAGCAGTGGCACAAGTAGTGTCTCAATTATTATGAATCCAGATAATCTTGAAAGATTTAACAATCGAATAGGAAAGGCCAGTAAATTTTTTTTCTAACAACAAATCTATCATTAACATTACTCACAATTTTGTGCAACATAATAACAAAAAATATATTGAAGTAGATAGACACTTCATAAAAGAAAAGTTAGATATTGTGATAATTTGTACAAATCATCTCAACTAATGCTCAATATGCATATGTCTAATAAAAAAACTAGGTAGGGCAAGGTTCCAAGGACTTCTCTTCGAACTAGGTATGGAAGATGCATATTCACCAGGTTGAGGGTGAATGTTGAAACACTTCCAATCTTTTATCTTAACGTTAAGAAATAAATCCTCCTAAAATAATAAGATACCAGTTAGGAAAACTCAAATATGGAGATTGATTTTATTTGATTTAATTTGATCTGCTATAATTAGTTTATTATTTTTCTCTTTGTAAAAGCTATATATACCTAAGTATATTCTCGTTCTTAATATACAAAAATTTCAGTTTCTCCCTAAATTCCAACATTGAAGTAGGGACCTCTAAATGTAATCCAAACTGAATGTTATAGTAGTCCATTCCATGTTAATATATCATACTGAAGCTCGTAACCAAAGGAAACATTCACGCCCCAGAAAGTAAAACGAAGATGAAAGTCTTTCAAGCACACGCCCACCTGAAGTAAAATTGATGACAGCCTAAATGAAAACAGGAAAAAGAATACTTTTAGAGAAGATAAACAAGCACTTCCATAAAAGCTGACTCAAATACTCTTTAGTTTTGACTCCTAAAGATGTAAAACTGTCAGCAGAAACACCCTCACGGCCTACCCTGAAATGTATATCAAAAGTGAACAATTAACTGAACCCAAATTCGAAGAGATACTCAAAGACGACGACACCACCATCTACGCCATAGTAGAATTTAATTCTAGGTACACAGAAATGAGGAACACAAACAAATTACACTGACACAGAAGCGGGAGGTAAGAGTATCTTTGAAGACCGTCCGAGTCATATAAAATACAGTGAAAAAGTCATAAAGGTTATTTTACCCGTTTGAGTAATCTGGAGAGAGAAGCTGAATTCGCAGAGTTTGGCGCCTAAAGAAATCTGAGAGGTGAAGAGTTAACCCTAATCCGAATAAGGGCTAAAATTGCTCCTTCCTGTTTGGTTACAGAGGCAGCCCTTGTTCCTTCTCTTACTTTCCCTTTTCTCTTTGTCATCTTCTGCTTTTGCGCTTTTATTTTTAATTTCTAGGGTCCATTTAAATTGGGTTATAGACCCATTTAATCCCAATCCGATTTAGATTATAATTTATTTACAAATTAACTCTTTTAGTTTCAAACCAAGTATAAACATTTTTTTCCCTAAGTTAATTTATTGGCTTATAGTTGTTACCTTATGTATTTTTTATTTTAATAAAGTTTTAATTTTATATTTAGTTCGGTTGTGTATTCAAATTACACAAATTTTAGAAAAAAAAGATTCAACGACAAAATTGGAACTTTACAAAAATTATCTAACTATTCTTTAGATAAATACTTCTTTTTTTCTATAAAAATTTATTATTTGAATGTGTGAACTGCGTATGTATAAACTGAAATTTACAAACAAATTTTATATTAAAAAAGTAAAAGTAATAACAGTAATCCATTTGTTTGAAACATACCCGAGTAAGCACCTCAAAAAAAAAAGGCAGAATGCGAGTAGTGCACAACATTTCCTGATCTGGGAATAGTAGTTTTACTACTCACTCAACTGGATACATTACAGATGGTATAATACACAAATATGCTTCTTTAGGTAATACCATAGAGGGTATGGTCTCAGAAAACACATATCACAGCAGAATACAGCATGGATATCACTTGTACCAGAAGCCTCAGTCACTAGTATGGCTAATGGATGACTGTAACTTGTGCACAATACTAGAAAAATTTCTCTTCTGCTCCCGCATTCTCCAATGAACCTCATTGTCCGAGAATTTGCAGGACGAAGATGGGAACTAACAAAAAGTGATCTGGGTTTGAGAAATTTTTTGTATAGAATTTTCCTTAATAGGAACAATCTTAAAGCTAATGAGAAAAAGTCAATGCAATCTCAACGTGGTAAGGTTTCCCTGCTCCAGACATATTTTCTCTAGGAAATCTCAAATAAATTTGATCTGATGTTAATTATGCTTGTTTGGGCTATCTACCATCGACATTGTTAACAAGGGAGACTAATTCCAAATTCTCAGTTCCTGCAGTAGCGGTATCCTCTTTTGCATTCAAAATTTCAGGAGGAAGAACGAAGGAATTGGGATCTCCTTTGGGTATCAAAAACAGAAGACAGAGTGGAGAGACTCTCAGTATGTTTCGGATCAATATGGCAAGCCAGAGGTTATCAAATTTTGTCCTAGTTACATTCAGTACATGAAGTAGGAAACCTCCTCCCCACGAGGATGAAAGCACTCCAGTGTTATCAATTGACATGAGCAAAGCAAAGAAAGTGCCTTCAATACCTGAGGGACAAAGCTTTGTACTCAAAACAAGAAGAGGCATCCATTTCAGCCTCCCTATCATCTGGGACATACTTTGATCAATCACGATGAAAAAATAATCTGGTATGCCGAATTTCAGGTTTAATCTCAGCACAAGAATCAGATCTAACATTCCTGACAAACCATGAAGCAACTGGGTCCACAAAAGCAAGTCACGAAAAGGGTGATCTTTCAGAGCATTTTGGTATAGAATTGCCCCTAAAAGGGAGCCAAATGAACCAATTGAGAATATAAAACCAACAGTCTCCTGCATTTGCAATACCAACAAGAAAATCAGAAATCTCAGGTGATACATATAAAGTGTACAATCAAGCACAATGAGTAGATGATGCTTTGAGAACTCTAAAATCATCCCCAGCATGATGAGAACTTTTAGCAGTTTAACACAAAATCTAATTTCTACTCTACTGGTCAAATATTCAAAGTAGACAAGAGCAAAAACAGGAACTTTGCTGATTCACTAGAAATGTATTACTATTGTAGGCTAATAAATTTGAATTCTATAGGCTTTTGGCTAATATTTTCCTTGGGGCTTAGCTACCTTCAGAGTTAGGAAAAATGAGAGCAGAATCAAAGTACCTGGGAGAAAGAAGGGCCACCTTTTGCATCTGTATACCAATAAAACAATCCTTCATGAATGTTAAAACTCAATGCAAGGGACATATACATGTATAAACATGGTCTCCACACATCACAGCATTTCAATGTTGTCCACATGGCTCTGGTGGCATCAATAAATTTCTGGCTCACCTGAGACAGAAAAACCATGTTTGAATACAAAGACAAAAGTAATCAAGAGCAAACAGAAGCCCAAAGGTACCTGCTTGTAAGCAAAATCAGGCATGTAGTCAGACTCATGAAGCAGAATGCCAACAGAAAGTATAAGTCCAGCTGGGATTGTCAGCAAGCCAAACACCCCCTATCAGGGAAGAAGAGAAAAAAAATCTTGATGAGTAAAAACTCTATTCTAGGCAAGACAAGAAAAAGCAGCAGAATTTGGAGAAGGAAATTCAGGGGCAACTAACCATAGGGCCAATCCAGTGCAGAAAGATTCCACTGAGAAAGAATCCCACTAAAGCTCCAATTGAGGAGCAGAAAGCACACAAGCTTTGCATGTCAGGTGCAAGAGAAGGTGCGTTTATACTATTCTGCGCCACGCAAGCGTCTATTGTCACATCCGCAATTGCTACCCCAGCACTACTGGCAGTCAATGACATCACAGCTAATGCAAGAAGCAGCTTACTATGCAATGATATAACCAGCATGGAAACAACACCAAGTAACCCTGGATTTTCATTAAAGACCAAGTAAACCTGAAATTAACATTACCAGAAGGACAAGAACTCGTTTCATCATCCTTTAATTGCAAACAAAGTGGTATCAAATTATTATAGATACGTAAGGCCATGTTTTAATGGCTCAAAAAATCATAATAATGGACCAATTCACGTTAATGGATTATCAAATTTTCTCTTTCATAATCTCTCAATTAGATTACAAACAAGATTCAGTCCTAGTTTAAGTTCTCTTGCAACATATGCAGTAATCTTGTTCATCTAGCTAGCACCCATAGGTTTCAACAAGATTTTAACCAAATACAATTGTCTTCTGTAATTAGATGGTAATAACATTACAAAAGTGGTGGGCGTACATCATTCCAAAACATCCTTTTCCTAGCAAAAGCCTTTCTTTTCAGGATGTAACTTTGAGCAATCAAAATTTGAGCACCCAATTTATGAAATGTTTATAGAAGATGAAGACAGATCAAAAGAATTGTACTTAGCCACGGCCACAATCTGGCAAAAAATCATGCGAAAATTCTTTGGATGCAATGAGATGATAATGTATGAACATTAAAAACAGAATCTGGTAACAAAATAGAGACAAACAAAAGCTTGTAGGGCATAACATTTACCAGCTAAGATGAAATAAGGCCGTCTTCTGTACCCCCAAATGGGGAGAACATCAGTAAGAAGACCCCAAAGAGGCTTGACAATCCATGGAATGGAAGTGATTCCTCCGTAGATTTGTGATTCAGAGGGTTGCAACTTTTGTACATCCTTCATGTAGTAAGATGTGCCAACACGACATAAAGCTCCGCCCAATCCCTGGCTTATTCCATAAATCACAACCACACCAAACACAAAACTCCAATGCGTTTCCTTGGCGAGCATCTTGAACCAGCAAACCGGGGCACAGACGAAATCAAAGAACCCTCTTCTTCTATGCTCATTTCCCTCCTCCAAAACCTCAGTACCAGAGGCTTCAAGATTTCCATTTTCAACCATTATATACCTTTCTATAAGAAATCAATTGCAACCTTCCAGTTTACAGATCAAATCTTGTGGAATTTTTTCGTTCTTGAACAATGAGGAACTGCAGCTCAAGTACCCAAGAATGTGGTCAATATTTCTTGGTTCTTTTTTCAATGGGTTGTCATGTAAATGGATTGAGGACACCAGAGTAGAAAAATAAAAAAGAAAAAATGGAGATTTCTAATACGGGTTTGACGATAAAGAGAAGAATCCCATCAAGAAACCAAGAATTTCCTTAATGGGTATCTTGAAAATGATTGAAATCAAAACTTGTATACCAAAAAGCTTCAAATATTCTGAGGCTGAGGGTTATATATGGATATTGGTTGGACTTCCTTGCAAACTTTTCAGTGGGAGATCTTCCAACGAGACCTATATTTATGGCGCAGAAATATCTCCTGGATTCAAGGTAGAAAAAGGGAGAAAAGGGAGGTAGCTCCTCCCTTCTATAGAAGGATCAAACTAAATACAAAAAGAGTTGACAACTAGATTGCTAAGTTCCCATGGACCGGCTACCTTCCTTCATTTCCATTAGATTTAATCCTCTAAGGGAAGCCCCAGCGCCATTAAAGCAATGCCCATGTTTGGATTGACATCTTGACCGCACATACAGATTTCATCTTTAAGGGGCTCTTTTTTTTTTTTTCTACCTGATCAGGTTGATAAGTCATTGAAGTTGACTAAGAGAAGCAAGTTGTTGTTAATCTTTGTTATTTTATTATTAATTCTGTTTAAAACTACCGAGTTAACAAAATTTCTATGTTATTAAAATTCATAATTTAGTCTCATTAAAATTAAATAAATTTACAACATATTTCTCAATTAGAATCTACAAGCTAAGACTGTATATATATATAGCTCAAACTCGTACCAATTAATATGCTAATTTGATACCCCTTCGTCAACACGTGGCAAAATATGATTGGTATTTAATACCTCGAAACAGGTAAACATCGTGAAGATCTTCTCACCACTTCTTGTTCCTGTGATGTAAGAGAGAAGGCCGTGCGCGAAAATGGCGTCAAGTCCAACGTTTGTGGATGGATGTCCAATACATACACACACACACATATATATATATATATATATATATCTATATGCATACACGCAGAGTAAAAATAGCGTCACTGTCTGTCACGGAAACGTACAAGTAATTTAACAGCATATGAATTTTTATTTTTTACGAGAAAATTTGCATTTTTGAATATAAATTCGTGTGGCAAATATTTGTGTGGAGTCGATTAGTCCGAGTAATATTAAACTTGACGTAATTGACACGTTTTTTAAAGTCCATGGTTATTATTATATTTATACATAATTTGGAGTTTGGAGTCATTTAATTAAATAAAATCAAATTTATTTCTTTTATTATTCATTGCTTTAAATTAAATTTCGTTTACAAGTGCTTTTGGACTGCCAAATTTTTAGCTAATTTAATATCAAAGGTAAAGACATTAACTAGTATAGATAATGAAATTTAATACTTTATTTAATGTGAAGTTAAATTTATGTTACCACATCAGTTTTAACTGGTAAGTAATTTTTCATTTGGTAGAATAGTATTAATCAACCTTAAATTTGAAAAAAAAAATCAAAAAAAAAAATATGGTTTTTTATATATCTTCAAGAAAAAATAAATAAATAAAAATAAAAAGAAAAACTTGACCAAAAAAACCTACTTGCTTAAAATTAAATAAGATGCAAATGGGAAATATTCCACTCTTTTGTCTTGGCTTAACATTTAGGATACCATAAAAACCAAACAATGAGTTACAAAATCTGTCTGGTTTCTTTACTTTTTTAACTTCCTTTATAAATATACCCCAAGTCTACAAGATTTAAAATATATAAAGTGAAACCTGGTCTAATTATATTTTCATTAATCCTTAAAATGATAATGGTCCACCACAACTTACAGCATTTCCTTCTCAAGCCTCCACCACCAAAGTAAACCAATAAACTTTTGACAGCTTTATAATCTTCAGAGCCCGATCGATTGACTTCAAATTTCCAAAAAAAAAAAAAAAATCAATTTAGCTGTTTGAATCATCGGTCTCCTCTGCGGTTGAACATGATTGAACATCCAGTCAAAACTTGTATAAGAGTGTTCTAATCCCAATATGATTAATCTTTAATCTGAATCTGATCATTTTGGCCAGCACCTCTTGCAGTCTCTCACTGCAAAAAAATTTGGAGATGTCCAGCCTTCTCTGTTATAATCAACAGTCTTCATGGATCTGTTCCATCTCCCCAAGCTTCATTTTTTCAATGGAGGATGATTTATTCATGGAACTTGATCCAGAAAAAATTATAGTAATCAAGATAGCGGATGAATCCCATTATCTCTCAGCATTTTAAATGATAGATCAGTAAGTAGAAGCCACTTTGTGATCTCCATCTTCTCCCACACACAACTTTGACGTTAGCAACAACCATCAATTGGAAGGAAACAAATCCCTTCGCCAGCCCAGTGGAAGGCAATTCAAGTTCTTGTTCATTTAATAGAAAAGCTTCTTTTGCACATAGAAAAGCATATAACACTGTGATGCTCTCACTACCTCCTCATCAACCTCTGTGATCCAAGCATCATCAGATTTGTACCACTGGTTATTTATCCGAAGGTAAGTCACGTAATGACCAGATTCTAGCATCCCTGAATGAGTAACTACAGCAAATATCTCAAACTCAGCAGAAGCATCATAGTCATCGCCCCCAAAGTCAAAAATTCTATTCCCAAACTTGCTTCTAAGAACTGATGATGATAAATACGGGGTCATGTCTAATAAGTAGGGAAACTGCAAGCAATGGTCAACTTTTTTTGACATATTTCTTGATAGAGAGTGTTCAAATCGTTTGATATGTAAACATAACACCAATGGAAGCCTTTTGATAGACATTTGCTTCAATGATTCTCGTTTCTCTTGACAGTTCTGACAGTGTAGTTTCTGATCAGAACCCAGTTTCTCTGATCTGGTAAACAAGTTTAAACAGCTCCAAAGAGTTGATATTCCTGTCTTCTCGTTAGGTTTGACAGACCTGTTAGCCACATCCAATGGATAGATTGTGCTCAAGTCCAAGTTGAGTGAAATGTCCATACATGGATCATAAGTTGTGGAAGTAAATCCACAGGTCATACAGGTGACATCCGATCTTAACAGACCAGAGAATGCCCTATGAGCAATACACTGGCAATCCCCATAATCTGTATAACAGAAGAATATGAGTAACATTTTCTCTTCAAGAAGTAAGATGGATTACACGTACACAAAAAGACAAAAAAACATAATCTGTATCCACGATAAGATTCAAATTTCTAATAGAGCCTCAGCCCCCCACCCCACTCCCCAAGAAGACACAGTAATTAAGAACAGCACGGCTTATTGGGTATATAAAGCTAAATTATTCAAAACTTCCAAAATCATACATGTGACGTTACCAATTGTGACTAATGGCTACAGTCCACAATCTTCAATATATTTGAAGTCATTATTGCCTCGTAGGCATACCAGCAAAAGCCAGTACTTAGTTCCCAATTTCTTCCCACCATATTGCTAATTTGCTATGCTCACTCATATGACATGAGAATAAACCAGAA